CCCTCCTTCACCTCACCCACCACCATCTCTTGTGTGGACTCCTGCAGAGCTGCCCAGCTGGTCCTCCAACCTTCCCTTCTGCCCCTTACAGTCAAATTCCCATCCGACACCCAAACCATCTTTTAAAAATGAAACTGCATTGGGTTATTCTGTTGCTCAGAATCTCCAAGAACTCATGAGCATATCCTTCTCTGCATCCTCAAGGTACCCCTAGTGTGGCTTAGTGCTTATACATCCCTCTCCCCACATTTAAAAGCTCTGCTCTCTTATTGTTCTGCCCTCAGGCCCTAAAACAGCACTCGGAATATATGGTGCTCAGTAAGACCTTATGAGTAAATTAACGATGGCTTTGAGGTTCCTTCAAAGGTGACACCTGCCCTCCAGTCCAGGTTGGTATATCCTCAGCCTTAATCCCTCCCTGTGGCCCTGAACCCTGTACAGTTGTATGTCCCTGTTCCCCTACATCTCAGTTCATAATTGTTTCAGTCAGCTTTTTCACTAAAAGACCCAACCAGAAATATTGTACAAGAGGGAGAGTTTATTTGAGGGCTCACAGTTTCGGAGGTCTCAGTCCATAGACAGCTGGCTTTATTCCTCAGGGCTCAGGTGAGGCAGAACAACATGGCGGAAGAGTGGGGCAGAGGGAAGCAGCTCACATAGAGATCAAGAAGCAGAGAGAAACTCCACTCTCCAGATACAAAATATATACCCCCATAGCCCACCCCCAATGACCCACTTCCTCCAGCCACACCCCACCTGCCTTCAGTTACCATTCACTTAGTTTCATCAGGGATTAATTATCTGTCTGGGTTAAGGCAACAACCCAATGATTTCTCCTCCAAACCTTCTTGCATTGTCTCACACTTGAGATTTTGGGGGATACCTCACATCCAAACCATAATAATAATCAGTTCCTCATGCTGCTATTTGTGCATCAATCCTTCAACAAGTCACTGTTGGTGCGGTTCTAGGCACTGGAGAAAGGGTGTGATGGGGTACCTACAGGAAAATGGGCACATAGATATGTGTGTGTGTTTGTTCACATGCTATGACATGGTGAACACAATGAAGAAGATTCTAGCTTGGGGGGAATGAAGGGCAGGTCCAGACAGGATATTCAGGAAAGGCCTCTCTGAGCGATAGCAGAGGAACCTTTGAGTAAATGAAGCCACGTGGAATCAAGAAAGTCCTCCCCAAACCATCCTACCTGACTAACTCGCACTCCCTAGGACAAGTTTTCAGTGATTTCAAGGTCTTCCTGCATAGCACATATGATAATTCCGATTTGCATGTATCAGTACAACCCTGTATTTAATGTCTGTCTCTACTGTGGACTGAAGGCTGTATGAGAGGCTTCAGCCATAGCCCAGACACAGGGCTGGAGTGGTGCACATGGTCAGTATCCTTTATCAAATGACAAATAAACAGATAAATAAATACAAGCAATTCCCCCAGGAGAAGGTCAGGCAGGCTTTGGCATCTAGTGTGGCCTGTGGGGTCTACCAAGAAGCCCAGCAGGCTTTGAATGGAGGCAGAGAGTCCCTAAAGATGCAGGTCCTGGTGGCCATGTTCTCAGTTGCTTGGCAACCAGGCAAAAGGATGGGTACACACAATTCAAATCAAACTCATGGTCCCCATGCACATTCCTTCAC